AAGTTATACTCCATGTATGTATAGTATGTCAAAACACAGTTTACTGCCAAGTGTAACTAAAAACAACAAGTTAAAAAAAGAAGAGAAGGAACTTCATATACATAAAAATATATTTACTGAATGTCTGTGATGAATCGAATCTCAAACCTTACAGAGTTTACATTTAAAGAGACACAGAAACTCTGGAGTCTCCAGTGCCTTGCCAAAGTGTCTTCTCCAACACCGCGCCCCACCCTCCCCACACCCTCCAGGAAGGGGCCTGAAGACCAGGTGAAGATTCCTTCTGACCACAGTGACCGGCTCAAAGTGAATCGAGTCTATCCTGGCTCCAGGGGAGAACCTCTGACTACAGTAGGTCAAGAGAATCAAGTCCCCATCTATATCAGCTCAAGACAAGTGAGTTCCCATCCAGACTGGCTCAAGGTGAGTGAGTGTCTACACTGAGCAGGACAGGGAGGCACGGTGAGTGCTTCAGGCATGGGAGAGGATAGACACTCCTGGGCTCCAGGGAGGCCTCCCTCTTCAAAAAAAACAAAAACTGCCTTTTTAAAAATGCCTTTGAAACGACAACTTTATTACACCATTTGTGGAGATAAAGAAACTAAGAATAAATTTCTCCCAAAGCAAGTGAGAAAGGACAAAGAGCAGGAAAGGAAGGGGAAGCATCCCAGGGAAAAGTCTCTACGATGTGTTTCGTGGGAGGCAGGAGGGGAGCGCAGAGAAGACTCCTGCTGGATACAGATGCGCTGCTGCCTGGAATCTGTGCAGAGACGCCTGAGCCATTGGGCACACCTCACTCCCACACCATGATTCAACATCCACAGAGCCCGGGGTCTTCTGGCTGTCCATCGGTTCTGTCTGGGCTCTGCATTTCCACTGGAGTCACTCTGTTCTGGAACTGGCCAGTGGAAGCAAAGTATGCAGCACAGTTACTGAATGCATTTGGTGATGCTCCTCCTCAGCTTCTTCCAGCCCTTGCTGCTGTCCTGGGATTGCCCTGTGGAGGTGCCTTGGGAGGATGAGCTGCTGGGCACAGGGTCCTGCTGGGAGGCTAGGCTGGGGGTGGGGGTGTCCACATGAGGAACACAGAGCTGGATGGCAGGCACACTGGCACTTCCAGGAACCTTCTAACCTGGGACTGCTTGGCCTCCTCAAGGTAATAGTCTATGAACTGTGAGCCCTAGAAAAGCTTTTTCTCCTCCATGCTGTTCTTGTTGGGTGTTTTGGTCACAGAGACAAAAGAAAAGCTAATCAAATCACAGCCATACATCATTGCACCCAGCTTGACAAATGTACTTGTGTGTGTGTGTGTGTGTGTGTGTGTGTGTGTGTGTGTGTGTGCACGCACATGCTCACAGTGCTGGGAGCTAAATCAGGTCTTTGCACATGATGGATAAGCTCTCTTCCCATGCACATCTCAATTCTGGTGTGGGAGCTTCCTAAATGTCAATATTATAATAGATTTTTTTAATTGTGGCATATTTATATAAAGGAATTTTAAACAGAAAAAAAATGAACAAACCAATACACACTAAACCTCAATGAATCTCACACAAACAAAATGTTGAACAAAGTAAGTCAGATGAAACTGATAAACTGATTTAAACTAAAACTTTTCTTTTCCACAGTAGACACCCTAATTTGCCTATTATAAGAAGAATGACACAGAGTAAGTTGGGACATTGGCCAAGATACTTGCTAAGATAGTGTGAAGATCAGATGAGCATAGATGACCCCTCTCAGCTGTCTCCTTGTGGACATGTACCCCAGTTTTTCCACTCGAGTCACAGATTGACTAGGTATAGTAGTAGCAAGCACAGAGCAGCATCCCAAGGTGACTGACAAGAGGAACACTCTTGGAGAGTCTACAAGAAGAACAGAAATCTCTCGTGAAAACAGTAGTGCACCTTCTGTCTTTGGGGATTCAGGGACAATTAGTCTCTGTTCCTGCTAATAACAATTCTGAGGCCTCCGAACCTGGTAAATATTCCCCCATGGGCCACTGCAGGGCTTTTCAGTTCCATTTACTGTGACTCCAAAAGTCTACCCTCAGTTGCCTACAACCCTGAATTTCATTTCCATCCCATAAAGAGAAGACGCTGTCCCCACAGATCAATAGCATCTGAAATTCGCTGCAATCAATTGGATAAGTAAGTATTCAATCAGATAAACCAGAATTCAGGTCTGAGCTTTTCCACTTACTTGCTGAGCCACCGTGGACAAATTATTTAAATTGTTCTCTTTAAACCTCAAATAAGTTTCCTTATTTATCTTAGAAAACAGTGAAAATTCAATGAGATAAGAAAAGCACTTTTAATCCACTGCCTAAGCAGGAGGTTACCAATCAATGCACGGTTAGCCTTTTTGCTATTGCTATTGCAGTCGTGGTTGGTGCAGTGAGCAATGACATGTTTTGCAACTCCCCCCTTAGCTCATGATCAACAGAGGCAGGATTTACACCAAGGTCTGTCTTCCCCGAGAGTGTGCACTCTTGAGCACTAAGTTATTCCATTCTCTTGTTACATGAAAAACAAAGATTCAAGAGCATGAAATTCAATGGAAAATCAAGAGGCAGCTACTTTCTCTCCTTCTTTCAAGTAACTCATCATCTTATTCCCCACTGTCCAGCCACAGTGGCCTTCCTGTTGGTGGGGCCCTTTACTACCTTGGGACCTTTGCATGTATATGCTTCTCTTCTTTCTTCCACTCTTGATATGGCTAATTACCACTTCAGGTCCCAAAATATATTTAAATTTCTCAAAGGAGGAGCTTTCTCTGAACTTAGTCTAACAAATGTTCCAATTATACTTTCTCAATGGTATCACCATAACACTCCTTTTTGATGGAAATCAGAGTTTCTGACTGTACATTTACCTGTTTGTTTTTTGTCAGTCTCCCCAGTTAGCCTGTAAGCACAGAGACTGTGCTTTTTTGATGAACCTTAACTATTCAGTGTCCACAGGCCTTGCTAGCATTAAGTAGGCAATCTAATATTTGAATACAGGAAATATTATGAAAACAGTGCCCTAGACCCTCTGTGGAAGCATTCTAAAAAATGGATCTATTCTGCAAGGTCACATTCTCAAAATAGGAAACAAATATCTCTAGTACCTATGAGAAAACTGAGAGTTTCCCTGCTTCCAGGGATGGAATTGAATCTTGGACTAAATTCCAGGACTGGTAAAAGATCTTAATTTTAATGTTGCATAATAAGGGGATCCTTATTAACTATATGATCTTAGGCTATATAATTTGTCTCTGTTTCCTGATCTGATAATGTGGGGAAAAGATACATTGCACATAGCTTGTGTGGATCAAATGTTATGCCACTGATACACAGTCTATATATCATAAGTAGTTTTTTATGATAAATATCTTCACTCCTGCAATTGTCTTTGTCTTTTTTCAACACCCCCCCCCTTGTGAAAATAATTCAGAATCATCCACATCTTGGCACCCCTTCTCTCAGTCTTCTTAGGTTTCCAAGGAGTTCTAGGTATTCTGCCATTTGAGAAATACTCTAGAGATTATTTCTATGTTGATAGAGAATATCACCTTCATTCTTTCCTGTTTACTTTAGAGAATTTTAATATTTGTATCCTAAGGATGCAGCCGGACAGGTGAAACCACTTTTACGCTAGGGCCTAGATCCAGCACTTGCTGTTCCTTGGACAAGTCTGTAAACTCTTGAAAACACAACTCGAATCCATCCACTTCACGCTATCCATTTGGGTTCCACGATTATTTCTTTACAGCGCTCCCTGGGACCCTTGTGTCCCCACAGTCTGTCTCTACACAGTAGCAGAATGGTCTCTCCATATCATAAGTCATTCACCATCTGCTTCTTGACACCCACACACCCCACCATCGGATCTCTGATTGTACTTAGAATAAAATCCAAACTCTCTAATCTGCGTGGCCCCGCCCTACCTGTCCTGTGCTGCCTCCTCCACCTCCTCCTGCCCTCCTGCCCGTCCCCTTGGTGAACATCACTTGAGCCCTTACCTTTCTCCTCCTTTATCGCACGCTGGCATTCGCTGTGACCTACATTTAAAATGCTCTCCCAACCAATTCTTAATGTGGCTGGCTCCTTCCCATCCATTCCTCCGTGGTGAATGACTTGCTAATCACTCAGTTCCAAGTCATGTGCCACCCACCGCGGCATCTTGTTTTCTTGCACCTGCTGACCGCGTGACTTCTCTGACTAGAATGTTGTCTGCACGAGGGAAGGGACCTTGCCGTATTCTGAACCACCATCTCTCTGGCACCTAAAGGAAACAGTGACACATTGTAAGTACTCAATGCACAGAGAGTGAATGGATCGGTTCTGGAGGTCTCAGGAGAGGTGGATCAGTCCAAGAGACTGTAAATTAGAAGTGCCAAGATTTTAACTTTACCTCGTCTTCTTTCTAGGGGACTCGGTTCCTTTTCCAAGAAGGTGGGTACTGTCATCTGGATCTGAAATGTCCCCCAAAGGTGCATGTGTTGAAGGTTTGGTCCCCAGCAAGGTGCTACTGAGAAGTGGTGACAATGTCAAGGGATGAGATGTGGTGGGAAGTTTTAGGTGATGGGGGGGGCATGCTTTTGGAGGGGATTGTGGGACCCCAGTCTCTCTGTTTTCTCTGTTTTGTGTTCTGGCCATACGATGAGAGGGTTTGTTCCACTGGCCCCTCCCCACCATGCTGGCTCTCTCACCAGAGTTCCAAATGCAATGAGGCCCAGGGCTGTGGACTAAAGCCTCCACAACCTTGGGCCAGACAAACCCTTTCTCACTTTAAGTCGATTGTCTCAAATACTTGTTGTCGTGACAATGAAGCCAACAAAGTGGGCCTAGCAATAACCACCCCAGAGAGCTCTTGCATTTCTCAGTGGAAGGATGCACAGCCCTCCATATTCTGGTGTCACTGTTATTTCATGCCTTTGTTTCCATCAAGGCAATACTAGAGCATGGGAAGGTTTTAAAGGGTCATTTCTATTTTACTCTTTAGTTTCAACACAGCATGAAGACAAGAAACCACACCAGTGTTTCTGAATTTTACCTCCTCGGCCTTTCTGAGCATCAGGGAGAGCAGTCTCTCCTCTTTGGCATCTTCCTGGTCACTTACCTGGTCACCGTGGTGGGGAATAGTCTCATCATCCTGGCAATTGGCTCTGATCCCCACCTCCACACCCCCATGTACTTCTTCCTATTTAACTTCTCCCTCACGGACCTGTGTTTGTCATCTACTACGGTCCCCAAGATGCTGGAGAACATCCAGGCTCACAGGCACACCATCCCCTATGCTGGATGCCTGTCCCAAGTCTGTTTCTTCCTGTGGTTCATTGGTCTGGATGTTTTCCTCCTGGCAGTGATGGCATATGACCGACTTGTGGCTATCTGCCATCCCCTTCACTACACTACCGTCATGAGTCTCAGACGCTGCATCCTGCTGGTGGCCACGTCCCTCGTCCTTGCACATTCCTACTCTCTAACCCACACCATTCTCCTGGCTCAGCTATCCTTCTGCCAGGACAACATCATCCCTCACTTCTTTTGTGAACTTCTTCCACTGTTGAAGCTCTCCTGTTCCAACACCTACGCCAACCAGTGTGTGCTGATGTACTGGGGAGGAGCACTAACGGTCTTGATCCCCTTGCTCGTCATCATTTCATATGCCCGCATCGTGGCCACCATTGTGAGGGTCCCATCAGCAAGAGGGAAGTGGAAGGCCTTCTCCACCTGTGGCTCCCACCTCTTTGCAGTTTGCTTGTTCTACGCGTCGGCTATCGGGGTGTACTTCATTCCCTCTGCTGCTGATTCCGCAGGCAAGGACCGAATCGCGGCAGTGATGTATGCTGTGGTGACCCCCATGTTGAACCCGTTCATCTATAGCCTGAGAAACAAAGACATGAAGTGTGCCTTGGGCAGACTCCTGAGCAGGGGGGCATGGCGATCTCCGTAAGGCCAGCAGCGTCCCCTTAGGAACTCAGGGCAAAGCCACCTGCAGCAAATCCTGAGTCTCTATTTGCTAGCTTTCCAGCCCCAGGCAAATTAAATAATCTCATTGAGCTGCAATTTCCTCACCTCGTAAAAGGGGGTGATAACACAATGTCTATCATGCAGCGTGTCTGGTATATTTGCTGGTCCCAGGTCTTGGGCTTGAGATTTGTCATCTTCAGCAAGATTCAACATATTGCATTGAAGTAACTATGTTCATCCTTTTCATCATTCTAAGGAGAAGATGGAGACTCTTGAGAGGTTAAATTACTTCCCTGAAGTTATACAGCTAGTTAGTGACAAAGCCAGAATCTGAACCCAGATATCTGATTCCAAAGCACATACTCTCAATGATGACCTTAGGCCGAGGTGGGCATGAAGTCTACATATTCCTCTCAGCCATTCATTTTCTTTCCTTGCTTCCTTCACATCATACACATATGCCACTCCCATCAACAGTGTCTCTAAATACTACCATGATTGGATGATGGGGCAAAGCAAAGGAGAAGCTAGAGAAGTGTGAAATCCCAAGAAGATTCCAATATTCCCCAAGCCCTCTGCCTGAGTGTGAGTATCTGTTTAGATATTCTGGAATGACTTACAAATCAGGCCACAGGAGTAAAGATTCTTGAGCCAGGTTATTCTGGACTCTTACCAAGTTTCTTTCACGGAACCATCCTTTGACACTAACATTCCATGTTTGGATCTATTTCAAAACAGAACATCAATTCCATCATTGCACGTGCATTATTGCCTCCCCTTGGGATACATGCAGACAACCTCCAGAGGATTTTTCAACAGCTCATAGGAGAAATTTTGGCACTTGCCGTACATTCTTTTAATTTCTTCCCTATGTAATTGGCACACAACTGAGGCCTCACTGGTGAATTCAGATTTTTAAATAGTTATTTTTTCATGTCCTCCATCATGTGGCTAGATTGGAAGGACAAAGTCCTCTCAGTAATGTGGACAGTGGTCACCCCATGTCCAGCCCTTTCATTTTCAGTCTGAGAAGCAGGGATATGGAGGGAGCCCTGTGAAACCACTCAAAACAGGCAATGCTACATGGAAGAACAAGTTTGCCCTCCATCTGGTATTACCTGTCTTAGTTATGAATTGATTAATAACTCAAGTGGGAAAGAAAGGGTTCTTTGCTGAATTCCCTCAAACACTCTCAATAACCCAAAACTCACAGCTCCATCTCTTAGGGGCTGGGTGATTCTAGAGGAAGTTGTTTAACTTCTCTTTGAGTTTCATTGTCTATCAAAAGAAGGTAAATATAAACGTTTTTAAGACTTTGTCATTTAGAACAGTTTTGTTCATAGCAAAATAGAGAGGCAGGTGTAAGATATCTCATGGCCCCCGCACATGGATAACCTGCCCCATTTCCAATGTCCTCCCCCAGAATGATGTATCGATTACAGTTGTGGAACCTGCATTGATACTTTATCACCCAGGGCCCACACTTTATATTAGGGGTCACTCCTGGTGCTGTGCATTCCATAGATTTGAACAAACATATAAAAAATGTGTCCACAATTATAGTATAATACCGAGCATTTTCACCACTTCTATTCACCTCTCTCTACCCCTGATGCCTGCCATACTAATGTTTGTAGTGCTTACATCGTTTTGCCTTTTCCAGAATATCACATAGTGGGTGTAGCCTTCTCAGACTGGCTTCTTTCACTTGGTAACATGCTTTATGGTTCCTCCATGTCTTTTTAAGTGTTGATAGTTCATTTTCTTTTTAGAGCTCAGTAACATTCCACTGTCCAGCTGTAACCCAGTTTATCCATTCACCCACTAAAGGACATCTTGATTGCTTCTAAGCTTTGGCAATCGTGAATAAAACTGCTGTAAACATCTTTGTGAATGTGTTTTTGTGGTGACAGTGGCAGAGTCACTGTGTGTGAGCCCAGCTCATGAGGGCTGCAGAGCAGGCTGTACCTGGCAGAATTGTGGTGGTAGAGTTGTAGACAGCTGTAGGAGCAAGGTTTCCCAGAGCCTTGGGGACACAACTCCTGCCCAGAAAAGCTTCCGAGGCAGCGTAAGGGGACACAGATGAGAATGGGGGGAACATAAGGTTAAGAGAACAACTCTAAAAAATGAGCTCATGTGCTGATCCCCCACATGCTTTCTTTGCCAAAAAGTAATCTGCTTGCAGCCCTGCCTGGCCGAGTGGACAGGATATGTCACATTCCTCAACAAATTGAGGCAGGGGCGAAGGTCAGGCAATGTTGGTAATGAATAATAGGGGTCCAGAGAAGATGATGCTGGTCATCACTGGTTATCAAACAGAAAACAATGGGTTGTTAACCTCGGTGATTCTACTCCTGGGCATTCTGGGCTGCTAACAATTAACCCTCAAGTCCCTGCTCTCAGGGGCACCTGGAGAAGAAAGAGAGGCAATGATTAAAGGAGACTCTGGGGTCTGTAAAAAAGCAAGACACACCCCCTCCTGCGGACTCCCAGCTCTGGGGCCCCTTTTCTTTGGAGAAGTCTGTCGCTATCACTTTCTTAAGTAAACTTGCTTTCTAGCTTGCCTCAGCATTTCTCGGGTGTTTAATCTTTAACACCTGGGAACAAGGCTCCATTCCTGATCTCCAAGACTGGTAGCAGCAGGACCTCACACCACAGGGTCTGCGAGCAAACACTTCAAGGCAAAAATGGTTGTTCTTGAGTCTTAAGGTTTTATAATTAATTAGGATGTTACCCTTTTCTTCTTTCCTATTTCTTTTGAACTGAGGATAGCTATCCTCTCCCTGACTCACCACTGTATTTTGTAGGCATATCACAAGTTCAATTTTATGTATTCAGGTGGAGATCAGTTTGCCTCAAGATGAATCACACCTTGACTCTCACCTATATTTTTTCAAGAAAATGTGGTATATATACATACACAATGGCATATTACTCAACCATAAAAAGGAATGACTATGGCATTTGCCAGTAGATAGATGGATCTGGAGACTATCATACTAAGTGAAATAAGCCAAACCCCACCCCCAAAGAGAGAAATGTTCCCTCTGATATGCAAATGCTAACAACAAGAGGGTAGGTGAGGAAGAATAGAAATTCACTGGATTAGACAAAGGGGAATGAAAAGAAGGGAAGGGGGATGGGAATAGGAAGGACAATAGAATGAAGCAGACGTAACTTTCCTATGTGCGTATATGAACACACCACAGAGAAACTCCACATCATGTACAACCACAAGAATGGAATCTTAATTAGAAAATGTTATATTCCATGTATTACAAGATGTCACACTACACTCTACCGCCACATCCATCTAAAAGAAACAATCAATCAATAAATAGTATTTGAATGAGACTAGGATTTTGAGTTGATGTTGGAATGACTTTGGAGGCTATGGGGATGGGATGATTGTATTTTGCATGTGACAAAGACATAAATGAGGGAGTTATGGTCTGAATATTTATGTACCCCAAAATTCATATGTTGAAACAATCACCAATGTGGTAGCTTCGGAGGTGGAACCTTTGAGAGGGCATCAGATCCTGAGGGTGGAGCCTTCATGAAGGGGACTAGTATCCTTACACAAGAAGCCCAGAGAGCCGCCTTGCCCCTCAACACCCCTGAGGGCACAGAAAGAAGCTGCCATCTAGGAGTGGCCATGATCAGACTTGGAGCATGCCAGCACTTTGACCTTGAATTTCCCAGCCTCCAGAACAGGAAGTAATAAAACTTCTGTTGTTTATAAGCCACTCAACTTGTGGTAGTTTGTTACAGCAGCCTGAAAGATATTCAGGAAAGTCAGATTAGACTTTTGTAATTTACATTTTCTAAAATCCCCAACATTTATTTTTCAATGTGCTTCTCTCAATGATATTTCAATAAATAATTGCCTAAGCAATGAGGCAATTTAGTCTTTCCATTCATTCTACCAATATTTACTAAGTTTCTATTGTGTGCCTGGCACTCTGCTAGATCTGGGGCTATCTTGAAGAAGATCCGAAGGCACCTTGCACCTGCCCTCCTGGAGCTTATATAGTCTAATGACATACATCTTCTCTTGTGCACAACAGAACACACAAGGTAACAGATTTCATGCTCTACTCTAAGTTCCATGAAAGCCCAGATCTGTTCCATTCATTGTCCCCTGAATTTAGAGGATTTAGCCAAATAAATGAAGAAACTAGTAAGTGAATGAGTTTGTGGAAATGTTGAATTTAAAAACAGGTTTTGACCCACAGAGGAGAGGAAGGAGATTGAAAAAGGAAGAGAGGAGAGCACAGAGAAGTACTGGAGAATGAAATCCACCAGATTATCTGAAGTCCATGTGCAAATAGACCACAATGAACCTGCTTATGTATATAATTATAATGCACTAATCAAAGTAGTAATAATATTACAAGAGAGATCAGCAGAACACAGCAACAAGATCGGGGGAGAGAAAGGGAAGGTACCGGGGAGTGAGATTTGTAAAATTATGTTACATGCACAAACAAATATGGCATAATGAATCCCAGTATTGTGTGGAATCAAAACCCCTGTCATTGATCCATTGATCTCACTTATTTTTCAAGAGGCTCATCTCAAATCAAGGTATTGAGGTCATTGTTGTCACAGCATTTGTAGAGAGGTGATGTGATATAATTGAGAAATGCCCCAATTTGGGGGGAAGGAGATCTGGCCCTGAATTTAGCCCATTTATTTTGTGTGATACTTTAACAAATTTCTTAACCTGCTCCTTGGTTCTTCTGGTTATGATTTAGGACTTGATGAAATTTAAATCATAGCATTAGAAAGATTAAGTTATATGACCTTCACGCATAAAAGGCACTAAATAAATATTTAAGGTCCAGGTTGAATTATCAAATGTTTATTGCACATCATGGTTGAGCAGTTATAAGGTTAGTCTCTAGACTCAAAGCAGAACACCCACCTACTAGCTAGGTGACACTGAGCGTGTCAATTTCTCTAAGCCTTAGTTTGTTG